TGCCCATCGACGACCATGACTCATTCAAGGCTTGAGTGGCGGAGGGACCAGATCCGTAGTAACGAAGCAGAAGACGCCGGTAGTCGTGTCGGTCGGACATAGTTCAATTAATGATAACTTACTTCTAACGACGGAGTACAATATCGGTCAGCTATAGTGACGATCTACCAACCATGCTCTTTCTCCACCATTTGTCCTATGGCTCTGCATTGAAGCATTCGCACGCAACATGGTTGCGAAATCAAGTGTCGAAATTTTTGCAAAACTTTTGGGACACCCTAATACAAACAGACGTTCTTACTGAAGCATAATTATAATGTGGTAATATGCAAACTGTTGTTTACTTGGCCCTCGTCTATCTTGAGCGGCATTCTCGAGTTTATAGCCAATGATGGTGCCAATACTGCCATACATGAAAGACCTGAAAACAAATGTTTAGAGGCTTGATTGTTCCCTTACTGTGCTGCACCTTACTTTTCAAGACGTGGTTCAGTGGGATTAGCTTCAATCTTTATCAGAACTTACTGCACTACAATCACGAGCAGCCGCTTGCCGGCTCGACAGTAGCAAAAAGCTCCTGCAGCGGGGCTGGGCATCGTGAGGCGGTTTTTCGATCGCATCGCTACACTGCCGCCGACCAAGAATGACGAATAGGCACGTAAAAACGGACACAAAATAACACAACACCAATCGAAATACTGCCTTACAAAACACACAAACTAGCTACGCTCAAAGACACAAATAGCAACGCGATCACTCATCTGCTGATCCAGCCTCACACACCACACGACCAGCCATGGAGAGAATCCATGTAGTCGAACCAGGCAGGAACGTGCGATACGTGGGAAGCGGCTACACAGAGAGCACAGCGGTGCAGGAAATACCGTGCAGGAAAGGCGAACACGCGAATATTAAAACACGGGCTCAGGCCGGACGAGCTGGCTGGGGATGGAATGACAGACGTGACAGTGAATACCAGACGGTAACGGATGAGTCATAACGAATATGTTGGCTGAGGCGGCAGATGTGGAGTAGCAAGCGGGCGATTGACGACTAAGCGGAGAGACGACGGAGCGGTGATGACGGAACGCGAAGAGGCACATCTGATAACGATGACAGCGGACCGTCCACGATATCGCCTGCGCCAAGAGTGCAAGATGACTAGTTCTTGCGCTTCTTGATCGGAGTACCAGCACACAGAACAGTATTACGAGTCCCGCGACAGTTATTACAGGTGACGGTGCATGCGTTAGCATCGTGCTACGGCTACATAGGTGCAGCTCTGACAGTCGCATAGCTCGGGAGATCGGGTCGGGATAACGGTGGCACCGTCCTGTTTAGTGGTTGTCGACGTTCTCATTGACCGAGCAAAAATTACAAGAGGACCGGAAAGTCGTGCGCTCCATCAGAACGCGCACATCATCCTTGATCTCAGCAACCATGTTGAAGAGAGTACCAAGACGACTGGCGATATTTTGGAGAGTCTAACCGTAGGCACCGTTCTTTTTCATTCAAGATCCACTGTGGGCCTTTTATCCAGTCTCGGTCACGCAGCTGGGAGCTTGTGACCCCTCGTGTTCCAGCATTCGCTGGATTTTTCTCTCCAGGAATGTGGAACAGATGACACTATACCCTACGTCTGTGAATCTATTCAAAATGGTCCTAATACGATCTCGCTGATTTGATGCAAAAAGTGGTAGTTTGCGCGTTGATTTGATCCAACTCAGGGCAATCAAGCTATCGCTTGCGATGCTCACTTCCGCTATATTCTGCGAAACAGCGGATACAATTGATTCCGCCAATCTGAGAGCGACGAGAACTGCTAACAGCTCAAATTTGGGTATGGATAACTCCCTCCTCTTTGGTGCAAGCTTCGTTTTGTCACTAATCAGACTAAATAGCTCATTTGAGTCATGGTTTTCCATGTACGAGCAAACGGCCATAGCTTGATTGCTCGCGTCAGCGAAGACCCATAGTCGAAGACAGTCTGAGGAGGCGCCAGAGGGAAACAGACCTCGTGGAACTTGAAGTGAAAATGAATCTATGTTTCTCGTAGCTTTTTCCATTCCTCTCTGAATTTGGGATCGACCTGTGTATTCCATTCAATCTGAATATCGAATAACCTGCGCAATAGATGTTTTTGGGCAATCATAAGTGGTGCACTGTACCCGATTGGAGCACAGATAGAGTGCTGCTGACGCGAAAAGTCTCTTTTCGACTGTGGCTCGATGAAGAAGTTGGTCTCCAACGAGAACGTGTCAGCTTTGAGATCATAGTCCACACCGAGAAATTTCGTCGGTGTGGACGATGCGCGATCGTTTTCGACGATTCGGAGTTCATCGCTGTTGAGTTATTGGTGAACGTTCTCAAATTCATTCCTATGCCGGCGAAGATATCCTTTGACTTTCTGTATTTTTCGACAGCCTCTTCTTCAGAATCTGCACTCATCAGCACATTGTCAACATAGAGGAGCTTCAGAATCTCACTTGCCAGTGGTGTGCGAATATTATTCAAGCACGGCGATATCACCATATTTAGCATACTAGGAGAAGCAGTGTTCTCGAACGGGACGCATTCCCAGCAGTACTCTATCAGATTTTCATAAACGGTTGCTGACTTGGGTCAGGCAGCCAGGTGAACCTCCACAAATCGCGATGTGATTGCTCAAGACGGATCTGCGTGAACGCAGCCTGGATGTCCGCTATCAGTATGGTAGGTTTCTCTCTACTTGCTATAATTATGTCATGAATTTTGTTGACGAAAGAGGCACCTGTATAGATTACATCGTTTAAAGACAACCGGCACCTCTGTTTGGATGATGCGTAAACACTATTCGCAAGGGAGTAGCCTTGTGCTCTTCCCATACCTCAGAATGGGGCATGTAGTATGTCTCGACGGAGTATGGAACCGATTTGGTCACTTCCTCAATAATATCTGCCGTGCCTGGATGATTTTGATGTACTGTTTCCTTTCCGGATAGGAATTCAGATGTTTGACCTGCGCTACCAAACGACGCAACGCTATGTTATAGCTTTCGGACAAATCTGCGATGTTGTCTCCTAGAGGAAACGGTGCTGTCACCGAGTTTTCATCGAATTGGATTGACTTAGCTTACGTGGCTAAGTAATTATATGCGCTCTCGTCGCCAGTTCCTTCTCTGGTCGAAATGCCTGAGCTTTCCAATTCGAATATATTTTTAATCATCTCTGCCTCACCAGGAAGGTCTTTCAGGATATGGAGCGCTTTTTAAAAACGGTTTTTTGCATGATAAAGGGGTGGAGTACAAAACTATGCTCGATTTTTCTTGAGCGGCCCTCTGAATGCCAAAAAAGTAGCGAAAAATCGGTCGAGGGATCGGTCCCGGCTAATGACAAAATTTTGCATTTTACGTTAACGCCTCTTAAATGACGCCAAATATTGCCAGTGATAAAAGTAGGTATTATGCTTATGATCAGAATCATCATTGAAATTTCTAATCAGTTTTCTGCCCAAAATTTGGGTGAAAGTTGTATGGCTCTCAGGCGGCGCCGAAATAATGCCTAATAAAGCTAAAATAGCGTAATATCGCACCTCCATCAAAAATGAACGTCAGGGACGGTAGTAAAGTACCCTTAACTCCCAATTAGAGGTAGTGATTAAGGGTTACCATGGAACAAGAATTTAGAGAACCGTAAATTAACCCTAGATCGAAAAGGAGACCCCTAATTTATCCCCGAATACCAAAAATAAGAAAAGAAACCAAATGAAAAACAGAAAAACAGGCCGCACAAAGCAGCCGAAGAATAGCCGTTTTTTAACTCCTACTCATTGGAGCTGGTCAGAGAAAAGAAAAATCATTCGAATGAGGAGGCACAGATACCACGTACACACGCAAGCACTGACACTGACTTCCTCTACACCCGGTTTTCACCCTCATATGTAACGTCGTCCTCATTCTTAACTAATGGTTAGCAAAAGGAATGCCTCATGCTGGGATCGAACCAGCGACCTTCTGTTTACTAGACAGACGCTCTGCCCCTGAGGCAATGAGGCATGTGTGAAGGATACGCTGAAGGCTCATTTTTTGTCAGAAGGGTGTAATCCTCATTTTTGAAAAATTGTTAGCAAATGGCATGCCTCATGCTGGAATCGAACAAGCGACCTTCTACTTACTAAACACACGCTCTGCCCCTGAGCCAACGAGGCGTGTGCGACATTGATTTAGTTCTCCTTCTGCACAAATGGATGGAACATAGGACCGTAAACACCTTTAAGGAGGGTGAAACCCATCTAATCAATGACATACAAAACGATGCCCCATGCTGGAATCGAACCAGCGGCCTTCTGTTTACAAGACAGACGCTCTGCCACTAAGCCTATGAGGCACGTGTGAAAATCACATGCCGCGAGCTTATTTTTATCGAGCACTATTTTCCACTACTCCCGGTTTTCACCCTCATACGGAACGTCGTCCTCATTTCCAAAAAATGGTTAGCAAAAGGAATGCCTCATGCTGGAATCGAACCAGCGACCTTCTGTTTACAAGACAGACGCTCTGCCACTAACCAGGAAGGTCTTTCAAAACATGGAGCGCTTTTTAAAAACGGTTTTTTTGCATGATAAAGGGGTGCATGCATGGAGCACAAAACTAGGCTCCATTTTTTCTGAGCGGCCCTCTGAATGCCAAAAAAGGAGTGAAAAAAGTTTCTCCTGAAATCGCAGTTCCTGGTCCAACGTGATTTATATCGCTCGTGGCGTTGAGTGCGGGCATAACAGGAGGTCTTCTTCACCAGGACATTGGAAACAACGTTGAACAGAGCCAAAAATAAATATTGTACATGACGAGCGCTCAAAAGTACAAGGAACTTTCATTAGAGTCGTTGAGATCTTCATCCCAGCGGCGGTCGGATGGTGAGTGGATAGCGAGATGGACTCTGGTTGGCACGTGTTGTTGGGGTTGTTGGTTTGGTTTCGCCACACGCTCGGATTTTTGCATTTTTTTTTAATTATAACTTTTTTATATTCGCGCGTGTTTGCGCGTGAACGTAACGCTCATAAATGCCATTTTCGAGAACTTTCTTTCCCAACTCTGCGATAGTTTCTCATTACCATGTGTTTTCAGTGATGTTCAAATTCGAAATTCCATTTATAGTAACAAATTATTAGCAGTTATGATAAAACATAATGAAGCATCTGAAGCACAGACGCCGATCACACCAACTGCACCTGAAGAGAGCCAAAAAGTGCAGTTGCTATTTTCTTCGCAGGGAACAACGACTACATTCCCTTAAAGGCATATCCTGCCGGCGTTGAGAAATGTCCAGGATGTTCGTCGACATAGCCAGCAGCCACCCAGGCATACGCCATGCATCGATGATAACGGGTGGTGAGGCTAGACTGCCCTATGAGCAGGAACTACCATCATTTTGCAGGTGACTCAAAGTAGGCTGCCTGCGTGACGTACTGACTATGGCTTACCCATGGCCCAATTTTCAAATTCGGGTCAAAATCTCGATTTTTTCTAAAACCGCATCTGTAAGGGTAATTATAGGCGCTGATTACGAATCTGACGTTCATTTTTGATGGAGGTGCGATATTGCGCTATTTTAGCCTTATTAGGCATTATTTCGGCGCCGCCTGAGAGCCATACAACTTTCACCCAAATTTTGGGCAGAAAACTGATTAGAAATTTCAATGATGATTCTGATCATAAGCATAATGCCTACTTTTATCACTGGCAATACTTGGCGTCATTTAAGAGGGGTTAACGTGAAATGCAAAATTTTGTCATCAGCCGGGACCGATCCCTCGACCGATTTTTCGCTCCTTTTTTGGCATTCAGAGGGCCGCTCAGAAAAAATGGAGCACAGTTTTGTACTCCATGCATGCACCCCTTTATCATGCAAAAAACCGTTTTTAAGAAGCGCTCCATGTCCTGAAAGACCTTCCTGGTTAGAGAGAGGAAGACCTGCGAGTTCTGTCCTCTCTCCATGGCTTAGTCCTGAGGTGAGCAAGCCAGCCCTGTTGGCGGAGCTTGACGCTAGCTGCTCCACTTGCGTCATCACTTTCCTACCGCACCGATGGAGTTTAAGTGACCCGTCGACCTTGAAGACCCTATCCCTTACCCAACATTCAGCATACGGCCCCAGCAAAAACGCCAAACGGGCTGGTTTGCTTGCCTCGTTGTTTATCGCATTTACATGCAGGCTTCCTATTCCATAAGCTGCGAATTCGAAGAATCCGGGCTACTGTTAGACCAGAAGGAGATTGTAATGGTGAACTGTTTTCGAGAACGATGAAGCTGTAGAGGTCTTTCCCAGTGAGGATATGAGGAAGCTGGTGTTCCCCATGCAGCTTTCTGTTTGCAAGGCAAATGTTGTATGTTTCCATGGAACGCACGTCTTTCTCAGTGACAAACACGGACGGAAAACCCTTGGTTATTGTGGGCTTCGTTTTTATTGAAAACTCCAGTTGTCTCCGCTGGGCGGTTTGCACTTTCAGTAAGACTTCATGCGATATGAACGTCTCACAAACACCACTTATCCCAGAGAGTGAACATTATTCGCTTTTGAGAACTCTCAGAGCTAGGTATTCCGCCTGTTCCAGGACCAAACGGATCTGAGCGCCCGTATTTTGCATTGCATAATTCCACACTGATCCCTCTGCCGTCATGGGAACGATCTGCGCCGATCTAGAGGAATATGTGGCCTCGATATTCAAATTTTCATTTGCACCCGTGACCGAATTGTTCAGCATGTAATACAGGTAAGGCTCGGAATCAAGCACGGGAATTTGATTTAGGTTTTTGACTTCATTCACATGTTGAACATCTTCTTGTAAAAAACTTTGTACCACTTTGCGTTTCACGTTTTTTACTTTGTCTGACTGAGTGATGCTCTCTTTGAATAGGCAGAGGGAGCCGTCGTGTAATTTTCCGCAACGCCTGCAGTTAGGTCGCTTGCATGCCATACTTCTATGATCTTTGGAAAAGCATTTCTAAGATAATTTTTTCTCCACCACCAATTTTCTGCGCTCACTAGCCTCTTTAACGCTGCGGCACTAAAAAGATGGGTGGTTGGTTCGTTCGCAGAAATTGCAGCGAAATGCTTTTTAGACATCTTCCGATTTTGAGTACGGAGACGAGAGATTCACGTCCTGATAATCCCAGCGTTCTTAAACGTACGCATTTCGCATAATTACTGTCTCAAGGTAGGCTAGTGTCTGTCCGACTGAGTAGGTTTCTTCACATTCGCGCAAGAATTCCTCAACTATATGGCGAGGTAGTTTCTTGAGTATGGTTTTGATCCACATGGGATCTTGGGCTTCAGCAATTGGATACCCTGATGAGGTTATTTCATTCACAAGGGATCTTATCTCATCGAACACCGTTTCGCAAGACCGTGGTTTCCGTGCCTGCGGAAGGGCGTTCAACCTCCGGATGATATTGGCGCGTATAGCGGAGATGTTGTCATACTTTTCTTTTATTGTTTCTATCATCCAGTGATACAGTACTCGCTGTTTGAAATCGAAAATCCACGCGAATCACGCGATTCCGCGTGAATTGCGTG